TGACTTTGGATTATCAAATATCAGCCTTTACGGGATGTTTTGTAACTATTATCAATGACTTTTTTTTTTTTAAATGAAATTAATGGAAGATTAATGAGTTGAGCAGCCATTTCGAGAGGTGCCAGCAGTTGTTAGACTCCATTTCAGGCTCCATTAGCACCAAGGCTATGGTAATAATTAACCTCTCTCTATATATACACGTCTCTAGTTTGCTTTACCTTGATTTTTAATAACATACTACCTCTGATCTAATATAAGACCCCGTTTGACTTTTAGTTTGGTCTTAATTATAAGATCCCAATCCATTTTGTCTCTCATATTTATGTATTTTTTCCTAAGATAGTCCTTCTAATAATGATAGTTCTAACCAATACACTTAATTAGTAAGGATATTTTAGGAATGACAACACTTATTTGTTATAAATAACTAACTTAACTTTACTTCCTTAATCTCCTCAAATTAGTCAATTGGGTCTTATAATTAGGACCAGAGGTAGTATTTCTTCCTGTTTTGCCCTGCTTTTGTGTATGTTTACTATGAAGGAAAAATGAGTATTAGTTGAGCCCTTGAACTAAAAAAGAAACCGTTTCAACATTGCGCAGAGACCGGCTGGTTATGCAACTGGCCTATAAAGGATGGTTATTAAACGAGTTCATCTTTCTGTGGAATAATAGTAGTAGTTTTATGCAGCACAGATCATTGGGTTTGAGATTCCCCTTTTCATTTTTATAATACTGCCTGCCGACAGGTCATGATGAGCAGATTCCATGCTGAATTTGGGGAAAAGAAAAAAGAAAAAAGAGGGGGGGGGTTTTTTTTGGGGGGGGGGGGAGAAAATTCCTGTCTAAAACGGCTGTTAAAATCAACAGAAGGTTTAAATCTTCAGCTAATATTTTTTTAGTCAGTGGAATTATTCTTGATCTAAAATTAGGACTTTCTGCATGCTTAACACAGACAGTTGAGGGACAGAAGAAGAAGCTAGAGGAAGTGAGCAATTGCTAAATCAGCGAAGGTTAGTAGTAGTAGTAGTTGTTTCATACATCTTTGTTTGCTTGAGATTCTATAAACTAAATACATGCCTCCCCCTTTTTTTTTGACATGCAGAGACTTGATTGCTAATTACCGGAAGTCTGTGGAAGAGCTTGTTAAATCTGAGCCATAAGTTCCAGTCAATCAAATGTGTAAGGAAATTTACATTAGGCTATATCTCGGTAGATTAATGGTATTTCTTTTTATCAGCAGCAAAGATGCAAATTATTTTGAAGTTGAGATTGACTAGAAACATGTACAGTCATCTTTATTCATATGGAAGCGTAATACTTGATATATTCGAAATGAAATGCCAGTGAAGATGATTAAGTGTAGGCTTAGGGGACTTCACAGCATTTTCCTAGCCAAACTAAGGAGACGCGATTATAAATGCAGCTTTATTCGTCCATGCGTCATTCAAGCATGTTAGTTACTATATTTGCATCCATTTGTGGTTTAGAGTGGGTTAGTGTGAAGCTAGAAATGAAATTAATTAATTTTTAATCCCCTTTCACAAGTACAGGAGTTGTCTGTTATAGAAAACAAGAGCCCTTGAGTTCCAAAAGGCTATTTGCTTATTAGTTCAAAACTAAACCGAGATATTGTTTTTGCTTTTTATTTCTTCTGGTTGTTCCTCTTTACCCCCCTGATACGCTGATTTCATCAATAACAAAAAGAAAGTTGAGTCCCTGTAAGTTTCTTTATTTAACTTCAAAGTTCAAACACGTGTAATGCAGGGCTCTCTATCATCAATATCTGGATATTACGGTTCTGAAGGGAAAAATCAGAAGTTTTGATAAATAGGTTGTCGGAAATGTGGAGGCAACTGGTAACTGGGAGCTAAAATTTCTATATTTAGCTCCTCACAAGTATAGTTTCTTTATTGATTATTGATGTTTCTTCTCTGTAACAGTCCCCATTGTTATTGGGTGAACCTTGTTATTTAATGTCGTTGAAGGTTCTGTAAATGGTAGAACATGCCTTTTAGATTTCTGATTTCTGAGTTCAGCTCTAAACTGCAGCTTTTCATATGACGTAAAAATCTGCCAGAGGATGTCCTTATTCGACGCTTTATTAAACACCGTTTACAAGATCAACAATTGAAAGTCTTGAGGGGGAAAATGAGAGAGAGAAAAAACATGAGAGTACAAAACAATTTACAAACAATTGCATGGAATGTTTGAAGTTGATCCGCATGCTAGATCACTAGCTAGTTTTATCCCCGCTTTTTAATTAATTATTATTATTAGTAAAAATAATCAAGATAATAACGTGATTTTTTTTATTTGATAAGGGTGTTCCTTTTGAGACCTAGAATGCAAAAAAAAATTTATTTCTCCAACAAGTGTGATTTTTAGTTACAGGATAAAAATCAAAGGACTCCGATTATTTTTTTGGGAAAGTAAAATTTATGAAAATATCATTCTTAATTTTGGATTTGATATTTAAAATTGAGTTGTTCACAGCTGACTGGTGGACCATAATTTTGAACTTTTTAAAAAAAATGATATAAAGGAGTATTTATATAAATATAAATATGAAGGCTAACAGTCAGATAAAGTATTTCTATGAAACAATAAATCTCTATGAATAAGGAAGTTGGAGTACATCGAATATCATAATCATAAATTATTGTAAATGCAAAAGTTTAATTTCTACAAACCAGAAGGAAAAATTTGTTTCTATGCCCAACCAATTTGATTTTTAGTATCACTTGGAATGCAACCATGACACGTTCACCGATTTTTCTGTTAAACCAAAGTTTGTTTTGATTTTCTTAGCCATGCCAAATTTTAAATTATTACTTTCTTAATAATCTATTTTAAAATAAATTAATTTTAAAAACTTTTATAAGTAAAATATATTATGTATTATAAAAAATGATTAAAATGTATATTTAGTACTTTATCTTTATATAAAATTTAATTCGATTTACTTTATTTGAAGAAATAAAAACTTCTTGAAAAAAGCTTTTGATTTTACTTGGTTTAGTGCCTGTTTGATTAAGTGATGAGAGTTCAAATAAGTCTATTTGAATCTAAATAAGTGATTATAAAGCATATTTATCCTGTTTAGATAATTTATGAAACTTGATGAATTGTGATTTTACTTTTTCACTGTACTCTTAAAATAAACATTAAGGAGTAGCTTTTGCGTTTGAAGAATTCCGATCAATTTTTATCAACTGAATTTTCTCCAATCTATCCTCCCACACTCTCCCAAAAATCTCTTCCCAAATAATTATATTAATAATATTTATTAAATTCATGTCTTTTGGTAATATATATCTATAAGTGATTTTAATAAATGAAACCAAACAAAATCACAATTCTTAGAGTGACTTATAAAAAAATATATAAAAACAAAAATCAACATTAACTAACATCATTTATAGTCAATATCACTTATAAAATTTATGATTATTTAAAATTACACTGTTGATAGCTAATCCAAATGGGCACTTAAAGAATAATATCCATGGCTCCTTTATAATTAAACCTCATAACTTACAAATACATATATCATTAAAAAATTATATATTTTGGTAAGAGATAACTAAATATTAAATAAGTAAGATTTTATAAACTTGTTTCAAAATTCAAGTTTCCATAGAACAGTTGAACTAAGCACCACTTATATGTTCTAATAACTAACTAATTACTCATCTCCCTCTAAAAGACTTGTAACTAAATTTCACCCAATTTTAAAAAGTGACAAAGAAAGAAAATACTATTTATAACTACAGCCAATCACACAAAGTAAATCAGTTGATAATATAAATATTTTTATTTTATAATTTAAAAAATAAAGAAGATCTCCATCTCCTATAACCCCCATAATATATCTATCTGTGTCTCACTCTCACCTCCTGGCATTTCTCTGAATCTCTCATTTCTACAAACCCTAGTTTTTGTTGAACAAAGCCCAGAAATTTCAGGAGATCTCTTACCCTCCAAACCTCCTCCTGTTTCCTCGTCCCCAGCCTTTCCCGGCGGAGAGACGCTTTCTCTTTCTTCCTTTTCCTTAATTCCACATTGCCATGAACAACGTTAACAACAACAACAACAACCAGGCTTGTGCTGCTTGTAAGTACCATCGTAAGAAATGCGCTCCTGACTGTATTCTCGCACCTTATTTTCCTCACGATCGCCAACGTCAATTCCTTAACGCCCATAATTGTTCGGTGTCAAAAAGATCACCAATATCATCAGACACCTCAACCCCCACGATAAAGACCAAGCCATGCGAACCATCATCTTCCAATCTGACATGCGAGCTAACGACCCCGTCGGAGGTTGCTACAGATACATTCAAGAGCTTCAAGCTCAGATCAAATACCACCAGGCCGAGCTTGAGCTTGTTCTTCAACAGCTCGCTCTTTATCGATCCCAACCTCACCTTCATCATCATGATCACTTAAATCTTTATAATAACAACCCTATTGCACCAGTAGTACCTCATCCCACTCATTATCAATACCTTCAACAAGAACCGCCGTACATGATGGTTCATCCGCAGGAACAACATCATCAGATTCAGAATAGTGATGTATGTTTGCAGGAGGATGTTAGTGGTTGTTGGGGAGTGCAGGATTCTGGGTGCCTGTCGTCTTTATCGTTACAGAACAAGAATATGTCGGGGACGATATGAGTGGATGGTTATATGGGCGATGAGTTATATAATGATCAAAAGTCTTCGTCAACGTCTATGCTTGACATTCATTATGGTGATGATGAGAGGAATAATGAAATCGGTTTTGAACCTGAAGAATTAGTGGATCGCAGGTGTGTCTTTATTATAATCATCAACATTCTTTATGTAGGAATGTCTTCTCTTCATTTATTATTATTATGCTCGCCGCAAGTAGTTCTGCAATCATCTGAAAGTGTCCTGCAATTTCTGTTGCATGTCTGCATAATTTAGTCTTTTGTTAAATATCATTTTCAACGTTGATATATAATTTGATCTGCAAAACAACCCGGGGTCTTAGTATGGGTTTGGGGCCTGTTTCCCCTTTAATATAAATGAGCAGGCGTGAGCCCAAAAGAACTCATCAGTTAGATAATCGAATCTAAGTAAGACCATAACAATAATAATTTGTGTATCATTAATACTTCGCATTCAAGAGGCAGATCCAATAAAACATTTGAATGGATATCCAGATTATGAGCATAAGAAATTCTCCAATTTCGCCTACCATCATTTTTTCGATGGTATTAGGATAGTATGTAGCCCACCATCGTGTGATTAATTGAACCATATATAACCTATTCAGTGTCTAGTTTTCTCCATTTCTCATGTGATCATCGTCAGCTTGATTTATTCTTCTCTTCCCTAGCATGCCTTTAAGTACAGTTTATGTGGATAAAAACAAAATATACCTTTCTTTAATTTGTTATCCTCTCCATTAAAAACTTTGCAACATCTGTTCTTCTAATAAAGCATCCAGTAAGTCTGAGCATGAACTCTTTGCCAAGATAACCCCACTTTAGCCTTTGCATGCCATATAAGTGTTTGGGAGTTTTATTTTGGAATGAAAACGAGTGGCACGGCAAAAATGTGTCAAGCTAGTATATTATTTAGGTGAAATGTTTGCTTTAAATAGGGTGGAATAATGTCAAGAAATATGATGAAATAGCTGAGCTTTTCTTTCTACCAGATGAATTTTTTAGTTTAATTTATATTCTTTTCAATTCCCTTCTCTAGATTAGCTTTTCTTTTAGTGGTCTACCCTTGATGATTAATGAGATATATACATGCAATTTTGAAGCTTCAAACGCTCTTCCTTATATATGTACAAGCGGTGTAATGTCTGGTTTATTTAGTTCATTAATTGTTACAATAATTAGGTTGTGATTTTCGAGAATTATATTAGCGTAACATGTGCATCTACGTACATTCAAGTCATACTTATTTTGGGCTATATTAGCTCATGTTGTTAATTTTCCGTTGATATGTTTGAGCATTATTTCAAAATAAGCATCATGTAGCGTAATTCATTAAATTAAAGTTAAAAAAAAAAAGAAACAAAAAGCAAAGGTTGGTTTGGAAATGCATTAAATATAAGTTGGGGGGGGTATATATAATCCCATAAAGTTGTAATTTTGTTTCTTGAAGATCTAAAATTGAATATGATGTGCTTTACAATAGTAATAAAAAAAATAGTAAAGTTTGTTTGAGAGTTTAGACCTGATAAACTCTCTTCGTGGAGGATCCTATACTTGTTATTGACAACGTTGATTCAACCAAAAACTGATGAACTGGTGCAAATAAAACCAGTTCACCATTATACTGCAAAACTAGTGATTTTGAACAGCCTCGTTGGCCAAAAGAAAGTTCAAAAAGAAAGAAGAAAGAAAGAAACAGTCACTTATTTGACCAATTCCAAGTGGCTGTTGGTGCAAAGTGGCATTATCATTTCCATAAATCTTTTCTTCCCATAACATTATATGAGAATTATTCTTATACAAAATATAAATAAGTATGGATTTACTTGATGAGTACCGTGATGATGAAGTATCTTGTATGGATTTGAATGTTAAGTAGTGAAATTTATTATTAAGTTTTTTAATCTGCATTATATTTTAACATTCGAATTAAACATACATTAATTTAGTTACTACATGTTCAATGACTGCATCTAGATTTCTAAACATTAGCACTGTGTACTTGAATGTTTTCATTTTGAAAAAATAACTAAACTTTTATACAAGATAGATTTGCAATAGTTTTTATTAATAAATTATTAGATTCAGAGGGCAGTGCATCAAAAAAATTACACGTCAAATTTATTATTTACAAAATTCGACAAATGCTGAAAGCTAAAAGCTAAGCATCGAAGCAGATAATAATAAGAACTAGTGACATGCTTGTTTTCTGAATTTTTTGCCAAATTTGTTATTGTTGCATAATTCTAACGTAAAGAAGTTGTTGGACCGAAATATGCAGTGAAGAAGAAGGGGTTTTGTTCAAGATAGAAAATTCAGTATTAAAAGCAGAGGCTGATTGCATTCAACAAGATCAAGATCATGATCTCAAAGGTGCTGCAACTTTGTTCACTCTCACAAATTGTACTACCTGACAACTTAGTGCTTGTTTGAAATCACAATCAGAATCTCCAAAAGTACTTATTCACGAAACTTGAGACAAGACTCATTTTACATACTTATCTCGGAAACACCATATTTCAAGTCTCAATTTTGCAGCAATCCTTTTTCTTCTACTTCTAAGATAGGAAGCAACAATGCTTCTGGGCGGCTATAGTTACCACTTCCTGTAGAGAAACTCTTGTTCATTTTTTATAGAATAAATAACAGTGTGCCCTCCTTCACTACTCATTCTTCAAAGGCTATTGGAGTTTTTGTTAGGCCTGGAGAAAACTATTCGTCAAGTATAAGAAACTAGCTAACTGATGCGTACTTAATTCTCACAGAAAGGTTTTTATCTATTTTTCTCAGAAAAATTGAATATGTTTCTGGACTGGCAAATTATCAGCCTAAAGGCATAAATACTTCTATCGAATCAGAATATTGCTTTTCAGAGAACTACAAGGTAATCTAAAATGTAAGCGACTGTAGAAATAAAAACCCAGCCAATCCATGGCATTCAAACCAGCATCAAGATATCTGCAAGTGTTTGCCCCAGTAAAAAATCCAGGCAGTTGAGAAAGAACAGAAAGCGCTAGGTATTAGAAGAACACAGACACACACACACACGGCCTTTATGGCAAAAGCGTACAATTGGTAAACTAAAACCATCTCCCTGTCTGGTTTCAATATCAGCGGAGGGCGGAGGCATAAAACACACGAGATAATGTGAAGGAGATGCTCTTCAAACACCTTCAACGAACCTCTAGCCCTAAGAATTCCCTTCCTTTTGACATTCAATAAAGCATCTCATAAGCTACTAAGAATTGATCTCATCTGCCAATGTAAAATTCCCCAGGTGTTGCTCCAAAGTTCTGTGTCTTATTTTCTTAGGATGACGTTTCAATTTGCATGAAAATAATAAAAACAGCCGCTTTCTTCTTTGGATAGAACTAGCAGGGCTAGTATTTTCCCAAAACATCATATTCTAAAGTGAACTGTTTGTGCCAGCAAGAGAAAGCCATAGGATAAAATAAAACCTAGTCTCTCAGTTTGCAACAACCAAGAGGTTTGACTCCTCATCATCAATGCATTGTTGATTAAGCACATGATTGGATGCGCAAATTTCACTCTCCATTTGAAGTGCCAATTCCTCAAGCATCCTATAAACTTCTTCCAGTCCAGACTGGACAACATTCCCTGCTGAGAATGTGTAAACTTTCTTTTTCACCTCTATCAAACTCTGACCAGGAAATTTCTTCAAGCCCCTTGACTTCACTGAGATCCTAACCCTAGCAGAATCCTCCCATCTTCCACTTGCAGCATAAATATTTGACAGCAGCATGTAACTTCCAGTTACTTCTGAATTCAGACTCAGAATATATGATTCCGCGTCTTCTGCAATGTCTATATCCCTGTGCATTCTGCATGCATTTAGAAGAGCTCCCCAAATACACTCATTAGGCTCTATTGGCATGCTTCTAACGATATCACTTGCCTCTCGCAAAAGTCCAGCACGGCCAAGAAGATCAACCATACATGCATAGTGCTCTATCAGAGTTTCAACTTTAAATTCTTTAACCATCCTGTCAAAAAGCTTGCGGCCCTCCTCGACAAGTCCTGCATGACTGCATGCAGAAAGAACAACAACAAAAGTGACATTGTCTGGCTTGATTCCAGACTTAATCATCTCATCAAAAGTTCTTAATGCATTCTCGCCAAGCCCATGCATACCAAAGCCACCAATTAATGAATTCCAAGAGACTAAGTCTCTACCCTTCATGTTATCGAACACCAAATGCCCTTCCTCGAAACCCCCACACTTCATATACATATTAATCAAGCCATTTACTACCAAAATATTATCATCCATCAGAACCCTAACAGCATAACCATGGATTTCCCTGCCAAGGTTCAGAGCTGCTAACTCTGCACAAGCTGATAAAATGCTGGAGATTGTCACACAATTGGCCATTACTTTGGCCTGCTGCATTCTTCTAAAAAGCTCAAGGGATTCCTCAATACGCCCTTTTGAAGCAAAACCACCAATAACAGCACCCCAACTTATGACATTAGGTCTAACTGGAGGATGACCATCTGACTTCTCCAGCTGCAAAAATACTGACAGTGCCTCATCACATAATCCACATTCAGCATATGATGATATCAAAGCATTCCAACTTACTATATTCTTGCTCGTTATTTCAGAAAATAGCTTATGTGCATCCAGAAGCTCATGCTTCCCATAAGCGCCTATCAATGCATTTTTCACAAACAAATAATTTTCATATCCACCCTTTACAATATAGCTATGTAGTTCTTTGCTCCTGTCAATTGAAGCCATATCAGCACACACGGATAAGACTACAGCTAGGGCTTCAGCACTGATTTCAGTTCCCCTCATATTCAATGCCTTAAACAACCTCAGTGTTTCATCATAAAGGCCACATCTAGCATGGCTTGACAACAGTGATGTCCATGTCACAGAATTTGGTTGAAATCCCTCCAACTCCATTTGCTTAAAGGTCTTACAAGCACCACGAGGATCATGGTTCGAAGCATAACCAGAAACCATCATATTCCATGAAACTTGGCTTTTGACAACCATTCTATCAAATAATTGGGAGGAATCAACCATTTGCCCAAGCTTCCCATACATATTCAACAGTTCATTCACAACATGAAGATTATTCTGGAAACCCATTTGCAAAGCATGACAGTGAACAATCTTGCACAGAGTGGGGGTGAGCACATTCGAACAAGCCCTTATTATCAGAGGAAAAGTGAACCCATCAGGCCAAAATCCAAGCTTTCGCATCTTAGCATAAAGTTTAAGTGCATAATCATAATACCCATGAGAGACATTGGCTCTAAGAATTGAATTCCACAAAAGCAGATTTTCAAGACCTTCAACTTGGACCGCATCAAATACTTTGCGAGCATCTCTGACAAACCCAAAAGATGCATAAACAGTTATGAGTTTGGCGGCCAAGAAGGCCGACTGATGAGCACCAGTAACAAGAAGTTGAGTGTGAACTTGTTGAGATTGCTGGACTGTAAGGCATCGGTGAACAATGACATCAAAGAAATCAAGGAGTTCATTGCTGGTAATGCAGATTTGATATGATGGCTGTGGGCTATGGAAATGGGTGTGGGCTACGTAGTTAGAGCAACCAAGCTTATGCAGCAAGCTGAAAGACTTCACTGGGTAACGCAAAGATATAGATATGAGGCGGTCATAGGCAGCATTTAGCATGAAGTCTCATAGTTATGACAAGATTAAGGATTTATTAACCAAATCTTTGGCACCCGACTGACAAATTCAAACTCATCTTGCCCTTCTTCTTTGAATGAAGATGATAGCCAAAGGAAAACACTATCTTGCCTACAATAAGATACAAATCATTCATGTCAATGAACTCACTCCAATGGTCATAGTTAGAACCAAAGAAAATTTATTATCAAATTACTTCCCTATATCCCTCTATATAAACACCTTTGCAACTGAAAGTTATAACAACCCCATGGAAGGTTGTCTTCATTAACTACTCTACAATAGTTGCTGCTTCTACTGGTCATTCATGCATATTCAGTACTTATTCTAATTAGCTACCACTTTTCCCCAGTATGAGGTCCAAATAATTTCAGTGTAGTTATTTCTGTCACATGATGGACCGTTCAATAAAAGGTGCCGAAGTTCTTGAACACATAGCCAATCTTGAAAAGGACCAACATCTGACTAGAGTATATGATTTTAAATTTAATACTTCACTGAATAGAAAATTTTTCTACATACTGAAAGGTTTCAACTATAGAAAATACAATATTATTGCTATTCACATAAAGGCTATTCTGACTCACCCATTACTGCGTTTACCAACTATTAAAATCCTTTTGGCCATAGAATTGCAGAGCGACAATTCTTTCGCATATTAAAATCCAATCATATCAAAACTAATCACCCTTAGAGAATACGAGCCCTGCTACTATCAAATTATCAAAATCTCAACTTCTGCTCATGAGTTGATATCACGGCATTATCGACCTTATATTCGGATAACTGAGTGCAAAGTCCACACCCAGGAAAAAACTAAAATAAAGATAGATTAATGCTTCGCAGAACCCATTCACAATTCAAGCAAACCAACAAGTGCTGTGTTCATCACCAGATAAGAAGCGAACAAAAGCTAAATAAATATTATCTTCTATTGGCATGGACTATTACCCCAATATGTAATCAGCCAAATGAATTCGCAGGACTGCCGGAAAATCAGATTCGGAAAATGCAGCGAAGCTACCGGTAAAAGGTGGCGCTTTGCCGCCGCTTGCTGGTCAGTTCGCAAACAGGGTTAGGAGGCCGGAAGGTGTAGTGCGGCAACTCCTTAGCCGCCCGTTCAATGTTCCCAATGCCGGCGACCAGGTCAGTTACAAGGGTTATATTTTTAGCTCACCCCTTTTTGATGTCAGCGGCTGCCCCGCGTCGGCCTACGGAGGACGATGAGGCTAACAGTAAAGGAATTTACAGGAGTGATAATTTCATTTAAAGACCACAAATTTCGAAAATTTCACAGAATCCGCTTTCGAGGATTACGGGTAAAGCCACTCTCACCACCCCAAGTCCAATCGGTTAGTTATTATAAGATATATTTTGACTGCCGCGATATTTTAACTACTTTACGACGGCTCCCTCCAACCTTTACCGTAGAAACTTGTTTTTCCAATTTTCCTTCTATCTATAAAAAAATAAATAATCTTTATTAAAAAAAGTTGATTAAAATTTTCTTTTTATTTATGTCGTCGTCTAAAACGAGAAGTAATTTCATTAATAAGCCACTAATAACTTTTTTTGCCATTATTATTAAGTTATATCTATGCCATATTTATAACTTGCTACTAACCTTACCTATTTCCTTTTGTGTTGAGGAAATATTTTTTTTAAAATTTATAAAAGACAAAAATTGGACTAAACATTTTGTTTGTTAATATCTCAATTTTTTTAAATTTATCCTTAATTAAAGTTGACCATCTTAAAGTTTAATTCCAATTCTAATTTATGAAAAAAAATCTAATTATTATTATTTTTAATTTGATTAAAAGTTCTCTCTTTCAAAGCTTAAAACACAAATGGTCTTTCACCTCTTCTAACAAGTGTGCTTCCCAATATTTGAACTTGTGTTCTCTTTCTTAAAGAGTGAGGTCACTTATCATCTCAACCAACAATTTGTTAGTAAAATCTAATTATTAATTATTTGTAACTAATTCTGATACATCTTTACAGTATGTATTTTAGGCAAAATGGAGTATCAACTACTCTTAAAATTTTGTAAAACATAGATTGAAATATAAAACTTCCAAAGACAAATTATGATAGTGAGCTGAAGGAGCATTCTTAACTTTCACATTCCAACAGCAATAAAATTAAATCAAATAACGATCAAATTCAATAGCAAGAATGATTGAAATTTTACATTCTATTTCTTGACTAAGATTTAGGTCTTGGTAAATAATGCATGAATACATACATCCCAATAAGGATCCCACATACTCCTACATTCATATAAAGAGCAGGAACATGACCACATAAAATGAAGCTTTAACAAACTTTGGTATTATGTGGGCATCTGTAGTAACAGGAAGCATCTCAGTATAAAATAAATCTCGCAGAGCATAAAATTATCAGAGAAGATCAATTTTGCCGCTCTCCACAAGTGCCTTTATAGACTTGTAACATATGAAGTAGAGCACACCTGGCTCCATCTCAAACAGCATCGACCTGCCATTACAATTTTACAACTCAGCAACTTAAGTTCTTACCCCTTTTTTTCTCAGTTTTGCAATGAGAAGAATTAAAACCAAGAAAGTGTATTATGGAATTGCCTGTCATCCACTGGTCCATCCTCAAGCTGGATGCCTGTGAGATATTCTTTGCTTCTGCATACAACAAATGTGTCTAGTTGTGCTTCTGGAACTGAAACATACAAAACAAAAGTCTCATTCAACAAATTTTTCAGTCAAGTACCTGGGATATGAATATTATTCTCAACGGCAAGAATCCAATTCCACCATATCCGATATACAGACTTCTGTGGCAAAGCAAATATATCCCAAGAAATTCTCCTCATGACTAAGAACCCCATAAGCAATAGCTCAATGAATTCGCCAAAAAGAATATTAAAATATATAATATAGATTCGTAGCAAAAAGATCCTTAGTAGTTATACATAACTACAACAAAACAGAAAATTAGAGATGGAAAATTTTCAGTCTGTCACAAAATTCATAAAAGCAATCTGAGACAGATTGGCTGCAAATTTCATTCTTTCTTCTCTTTTTCATGTAGACCAAAAGTAAACATTAATTATAAGATAGCACCAATCTGAAGAGCTCATCACTGTTAGTTAAATAAACAACAATCTCATGCACAAGGACATGAAAGCTGTCAGAATACATGAAAGCTCAAACACAAGCAAGGTTTTGGGGCTCTCATGGACTGCATATAGCATTCTTACAATAAAGAGAAGCTACTAGGCTAAGATGTATTTAATATGATCAATACAGCGGGCATGTGCATACGTTAGAAACCTAGTCCCAAATCCAAAATATTGTAATAAGTAAATGCTAAAGGAACAAAAAGAAAGAAGGAAAGAGAATATTTGAGTCCGAATCTCATTTAGAAGGATAATTATTTGCACTATTGAAGCAAAGCTGCTACAAGCAAAAGGACAACAAAGCCCTAACCAAGGACTGCGAAGTATAACCACAGACTGAGTTAAATATCCTCATTCCTTTCCTTTGAAAGTATTTGCTGAGATACAAGGTTTAATCATCCCAGCTAACATACAAGACATCCTATCCACATCCCCAGTGAAACTATATCCTAGCACTGACTGATAATTTCTAGGCAACGCAACTTTCACAGATAGTCATGCACTAAATGGATCTTAAAAGGATAACGTTATAGATAAAAAAAGCATAAACCAAATTATAAGAATTTTGGATTACTCATGTCATCCTCTTCGCTTATTACAGATTGCTTCTGGAAAGATTGATAATTTTCTGGCAGCTTTGATAGAACACTATCCTCCAAGTGCTGTTTTAGATCTTCAGTACACCTGCAATGACAAAGCTTATTTTAAAAACCCAGATAAAAGACATGCCTTCAGTTCACGTATTTGAAATGAAATTGGAAGAGGGAAAAGGAGAATTTGCCTTGCCTTCTAGCGAAATTTTTCTCTTCTTTAGATAGCTTGTTCCACAGTTCATCAGTTTTTGCAATGTGGAACACGAACTTTTCAATCTGCAATGGAAATTCAGTTATAAAATCAAACAAATTACAATCTAATGACTATAACAACGAGCTCAGTTTACTTCTTGGCTGACATGTCTTCAAATATGTCAACAATTATTGCAGGAATCGTTGTTAACTCCATACCTTCTATGTATCCAGAAATGATTTAAAAAATAATAATCGGCCGGGAAAAATAACAGGGGCAACACTGTAAATGTATATTCTTTACCCCAGCCAAATATACAAAGAGCAATTACCACATGACACCTACATAACCCCTAACCAAATAGGCAAGTACCACCTTCTGAATGCGAACTCGGAGGTATGATCTAAGTAAAAACTGGGCTCTATCCAAGTCCATCTGATAGAGAGATATTGAAAGGGGATCGATGCCAGCAGCTGATTTCTCCTCCACTGTTTCTTCCTGCCCAAAATGAAAGCGGGGAAAATGAGCACCAAAAAGGGTAAGGGTGAATAAAAGGAGTACTCTGAAGATGTAATCCTTGAATTGTTAAAACCCATTCAGCTTTAGTCCATAAATCAACAAGTGCGGGAATTAGAACCTAAGAAAATCATAGCACACTTTTGTCAAATGACCAACCATGAAAGAACTGACACACAAGTTGCAATGGCCTTGTTGCTTTTCGGTGGTAACTCTGCACCCACTAATCCTGGGAGACTTAATATATTTAACATTTCAAGTACCGTAATGTTAGCTAGTTTGCTCGTGAAAAGTAAAATAGCATCGAGAATTCAAAAAGACGAGATTAATCTCGAAGATACCCTGCCTTTAACAGTGATAACACCATCTAAGACTCATTTCAAAGTTTCAGCTGCAAAGGCGAAAATTTTATGCACAAAAATGCCATTTTTAATTGATATTAATCATAAGCAAAGAAAGATAGGAAGAAAACATCAATATCATTTAACAATTTTGAAAATTTCGGCTTTAGGGGCACGCCCGGATTGATACCCAGAATCTGGATAATTTCTGTTTCAAATTCAAAGTTTTAAATAACCAAATAAAGATTAGTAGGGTTTGAAAATACCATTAATTGGATCTGTTCTCTAATGCGGCCAATTAAATCGGTCTCAAAACGAAGAATCTCAGGAGCTGCCTTCTCGTTGCGCCATGCTCTCTTGAGCAGCTCAACGTCAGTGGTGGAAAGCAGGGTCTCGTAATCGTCTGTAGGAAGCGATAATCCTTCCACCTCACTCGAAGCCATTGATCCAATCTCCCACTCCCCAGCCTTCTTTCTTCTTGTTTCTATGTGAGATTTGATATGTCGCTAGGTTACTAGCTGTTTTATTTGGCGCCAAAATAAAGAGAGAAAATGATCTTTTCTCCCCGCCAATTGGCAGACCATGACATAAAAACCGAAAGAAAAATTGTCACCAAAAAAAAAAATAAAGAAACCGAAAAGAAAAAAAAACATTTGATAACATATAATCTATTCTATTCCTTCCATTTTTTTCTCAAAAAATAGCAAATCAAAGTTAAGGGCTTATTTGTTTTTGTTCTTTATTTTTTTATTCTCAAAAATTGTTTTTAAGAACAAGTTTTGAAAATAAAAACAAAAAAATTTGTTTCAAAAATAATTTTAAAAAATCAAATTTGAAAAAAAAAATAAAAAATTATACTTTGACAAGTAGTAGTTATCACTGATAGTATAAGTAGTAGGTAGTAGGGGAGAAGAGAAGAAGATTTCTCAAATTTTTCAAAACAAAAAAATATAAAAGTTGTTTTGGTTTTTCAGTTTTTAAAAACATGTTATTTTTTTTTTTTTTAACAATCAACTAAAGACAAATTGCTAAACAAGTTTTTTTGTTTTTTTGTTTTTAAAAACAAAAATTATTTTCAAAATAAGAAACTAAACAAGCCCTAAATGTCTCGTTCTCATTTTTGTCCTATTTTTATTTCACATAATTTCGTGAATATTTATTTTTGGTAACGTCTTTATATGCACGACTCGTGTTTCATTTTACAACAGTATTGCATATTTCTGCAACCTATCTATTTCTTTCATAGTTAAAAATATAAAGATATCCGTGAACTTTTAAAAACCACAAGCCAATATACATTCTATTGATTATGTAAAATACGCAAGCCAATATACATTTTAACTATGATGCTAAGTTTGAAACTGCGTTGTCTATCTGAAAGTAAAAAAGAATAAAGAAATATTAATTTATTACCACTTGAACAATTATGAAAATACATTTATTTTCATTTATTAAATTTTTATTAACCAGATACATATTTGAAATAATAACTATATTACATAAATGGTAAATGTGTTTATACGTAACTTGATAGGACAATACCTACAGCTTGTAGTGCAAACGAAGTCATATCTTTTGATCTCAAGAACAAGATATATTTCCAAAAATTAAAAGGGAACTTCCCGCTAATGTAATATTATAATATCATGTTTTCTATGGACTCAATCATTAAATCTATTTGTGACAACACATGGTAGATACAGAGCTTCAGGTTTCGCAGCAATGGGTTCAAAATATGCAGGAATGAATCAAGAATGGACCCCCTGGCTCTGTAAATAAAGTACAGAGCTTTCGATCTCACCGGCGAGTTCAGAGTCAGCAAATGTTTCTCAAAAATGGGTTTGACGAAGTTAGATGTCCAACTCATCCATATCTGCCACACGCTTTGGAGGTTTATTTGGGCCAGTCGTATGATCCACCACAGACGCTTCAGTTGTTGTCAGAAGCAATGACACACTGCATTTACAACAGCAAAATTTAATTGAGATAGAGAGAGAGACAGACAGACAGACAGACAGAAATTCATAATATATGTGTTAGCCAATAGCTATGCAGCCCAGTGACATGAAAACTCCCTGGACAAGTGTGATTCAAGTTCAATCCCACTAGTCACCTCAAACCGTTAATACTTGCCCCTCCAATTCAAAAAGAGGGGAGGAAAAACAAAAAAACAAAAGAACATGCGCATGCATGGGTAGAAAATGGTTATGCACTGCTAAAATTTCACCTGGCAGCATCAACCAATGCTGTTCTGACAACTTTAAGAGGATCTATAATTCCGGACTTCACCATGTCAACATAAACACCTGCTTCAGCACACAGCAACATAACCTTTAATTACCAAAAAGCAACAAATAATGACTTGAAACCAACCCTAGGACAAGAGTAGAGCTACTCAAAAAACTTCATAGCAAACATAAAACATCATCATAATAACCAGGATTGTGCAAATGTACTTAAACCAACAGAAGTAATTCCACTTTGAGAACAAGCAATAGAGCACGCATATCTCTTAGTTCTGAAAAATACTAGCAGGAGAAAGTTATAACCATATTAGGGTTCCGCATGGTTTCACATTGGAAACAACTGAGAGTACAAACCTTTAGCGGCGTCAAAACCAAATTTATCATCGTCTTGTTCCAACAATTTCCCAGTAACTAAAGCACCATCAAAACCAGCATTAGAAGCTATTGCGAATGCAGGTGCCTGCAGAGACCAATATGATTCATTAGTAATGATTTAATCTAGAATGCCCAAAGAGGAAGTGTTTAGCCAATGAAACAACCTTAAGTGCATTCTGAATTATCTCCACTCCTCTCTTCTCATCCTCATTTCGGGTTTGAAGGTTGCCCAATATTTTACTAGCATATAAGAGAGCAACTCCACCGCCTGATTAGACAAATTACATTTTAACCAAAATAAATGGAAAGACCTCTATAGAAAGGGAACAAGAACAAATTGCATATGCTGCTCGGCTCTCTCTGTATACTTTTCGATCAAACAGCAAGGAACAAAAATGAGTCACCTGGCACAATTCCCTCCTCCACGGCTGCTCTTGTAGCATTTATAGCATCAGTTACCCTATCCTTCCTTTCCCCAACTTCTGTTTCACTAGCCCCTCCAACCTGAAAAAGTTTGGTTCCATTTCCAAGTGGGAATAAGGTAAACATATTTATTATTATAACAGAATTTATAAGGCTACGAGACGAACCTTGAAAACAGCTACACCACCAGAAAGCTTTGATAGTCGTTCCTGTGCTTTCTCTTTATCAAATGTGGCAGTGCTCTTTTCAATTGCTGCCCTGAGCTAAAAATGTTCACATTTTAAACATCATGAGATGCCCGGCCCAAAAAAAAAAACAAACAAACAAACAAAACAAAACAAGGGAGCATCTTCAAGTTACGAAGAGAATAGGAAGCATATACAATCAAAGAGGAAACAGTAGAAAGAGAGGAGGGAGGGCAGAGAAAACATTTCTTCAGTTAAATCCGGAAGAGCACATATTAAGTAACATCTATAGGCTGTAGGTGATATTCTACTGCTCTCAGAAAGGGTCATTTCTGTTTGCGGAAGATATAAATATGCCCTGTCACCTCACTTAACAGATATATAGACGATCATTTAGGTGGAAGTATAATTAAAAAATCTCATGCCATTTCAAGAAAACAACACTTTACGAGAAATCCTACCTGCTCACATCTATCTTCAATGAGCTTCTTATCCCCACCGCCATGTAGAATAATGGTATCATCAAGAGAAACAGTAACCTGTTGCACCTTAAATTAGTTAGGCATTTGTGTCGGGGAGCCTAAAACTCATTATATAGCTTCCAACCACAGACCTTTCTGGCAGAACCAAGCATTTCTAGCTGGACTTTATCTAGAGTCAAACCTCGTTCTTCTGTAATGACCTGCTTTTGAACACATCATTAATATTCACACGACACATAACAAGCTCTATTCCAACATGCTAGACCTCAGCTACACAATTCCTTGATCCTTATTAAAAACTAGAGGGGACAAATCTACTGCACAATATCTGAAAAATAGATGAGGGTAGAATATTCACCTCTCCTCCCGTAAGAATGGCTAGATCATCTAAACCAGCTTTTCTATTTTCTCCAAAACCAGGAGCTTTTACAGCACAAACCTAAAACACGAGAAACTTTGTGAATATGGAAAGCCAGTAGACACAAAATTAAGTACAAAGTATAAAAACAGTACAAATAGACACATAATCACCTTAAGCCCAGCACGATGCTTGTTGAGTATAAGCATAGCCAGAGCCTCACTCTCAACATCCTCCGCAACAACAAGGAGTGGCCTATGCTTCTGTTCAAAATTCAAATAGAAAACTAGCAAATGAGAAGACTCTAAACTATTATTTTACCAAAATTTTAATTGCAAATCAACACATTCAATGATTTTCCTGGCCACCTCCATTGCTAGCTCCAATATTTTCACCAGTGAGCTCATATCTGATATTTTCTTCTCATGGATTAGTATAAGGGGATGCTCCAATTCCTAACAAAACGAAAATGACTATTATTCAACAGATCATGCTCAATTCAAGTAACTAAATCAAGTTGAAAGAAGCTTTTTATTTACACCATACACAATTGAATAAACAAAGAGCTTATGACAAACAAATAAAAAGGAAAAAATAGAGGATCTTGTCATTAAAAAAGTAACAATAAATCTAGGAAGATCTTTAGCAATATCGGTAAATTAAGCTTCAGCAGGAATAAGCTAGAGCCTTGGATCCATATTCTATGCAAGATTAAAGGATAGCAAGATGAGATTAACAAGGCCAAGGCCTGTCTTCTGGAGGAATTAACTTTAACAGATGACATAGGACTGAATAATTAAAAGAAGACAATGAAGAATTATGTCCCAAATATGCCATTACAAAACGATTTTCAGCAAAACTAAGATAAAAATGCAAACAACGTTTAAGTTCAACAAGTTGAGAGTTTCTGGCAAAGATGTTAGCAGCTACATGTTGAATCAGGACTTACACATTTCTGGGTCTTATGATCAGTAATAAAATAAGGAGATATATAGCCTCTGGTCAGCTTCATTCCTTCTACCACTTCCAACTCATTATGCAAAGTGTTCCCATCCTGCAGTGTTTAACCATAGTTCTAATAATCTGGCCTCAAAATTTGCCAACTTTAAATGCACCCAAGAAAAAAGGGCAAAGTTGCTTACAGCAACAGTAATGACTCCCTCCTTTCCAACTTTCTCCATTGCTCTTGCAATAAGCTCCCCAATATCACACTCTCCATTAGCAGATATAGTTCCAACCTAGTAATCATATATAGGAAATAGGTGCACAACAAATTAAAATAAATAAATAAACTAGTACCGACAATAGCTGTTTTAAGTCATCTAGTAATTCCCATAATCAACATACAGAGAAAGCTCATCCTATATTGAGAAAATGGAAAAGACAAGAAGCACTACTAAGCATAAAATTGTCACATGCACAACATAATTGCAAAGAGCTTCCATTTTTTGCATGGGGATGTAGAGCCGTAAAACAATAGCATGCTAGTAAAGGAGCTGAATCCCAAAAAAAAAAAAGGTGTACAAATCGAATTTATCAGCAACAAGCTTTAGAAGATTATATATCTCATTCACTGCCAAAGCATCCAATGTATATGTTCTCGAAGTTTATAGTAATGAAGTACAAAAGCATAGACCCTATATGCTATGTTTGGATGGAGAGAGAATGAGAGGGGAAGAAAAACGAGGAAGGAAAATAGGGGAGAAGTGGTTTTTCTCCTGTTTGGATAAAGGAAGAAAAGTGGGAGGAAAGAAAAGTTGGAGAGAAAATGAGGTGGGTTCCACATCTCATTTTCCTCCCAACTTTTCCCTTCACACATGGAGAGAAAATGAGAAGATTCTCTACCCTTATATATGTTTTTTCAGCTAAATAATACCTTTTTTTTTTCCAGTTTTTCACTTTATTTATTATTATCAAGTTTTTCTTCTATGTTTGCTTCATTGAAAAATAAAATAACTAAAATTGAAAAAATCCTTCTAACATGAACTTAAAGAAAAAACAAGTAGAGTCGTTGTTTTGGTTTTTTTAACATTACATTACACAAAAAAATTTTTTTTTGTTACAAAACTATTTGATATTAAGATATAATAACATGATAATATATCTTTATCAAATAGTTTGATTTTAAATTATATGATTATGGTAATGTAAATATGGTTTTTCATTATGATATTTAATTTGATTTTAATCAAGATATATTTTGATATAACAGAAAGGGTATTTTAGTCATTCATATATTTACTCATTTTCTTTCCTTTTTGTTTTCTTTTGTCCATCCAAACATGAGAGGTGATAATATTTTCTCTCCAATTTTCTCTTTTCTCCATTTTCTCTCCTCTCATTTTCTTTCCTCTCAATTTTTCTTCCCATCCAACCAAAGGGATAATAACTATCTTAATCAAAATTAAACCAGCAGAAGAAAACTTTGTTGGAGAATCACTAGCACCTGGGTTATTTCTTCTTGTGTGCTAATCATTAATGCTCTGCTTTTCAAATCAGTAATTACAGCATCAACTGCCTTATTTATACCATTTCGCAAATCCATGACATTTACACCAGCAGCAATTGCTTTGCAACCTTCTGTAAGTATAGCCTGTGTAAGAACAGTTGCACAAGTGGTACCTGGAATTAGAGAACAATGACTATGTAAGATTAGAAAGCATCAAACATTAGCTACATATTGCCTGAGACGGGAAAGTAAAAAGTGACCAGAGCTAGTAAGGTAATTGAAAACAATTAAGAGATCCATTTTCAAACTTAAGACTGTTAAGAAAAATGTGCAGGTAAAGAGTCACAACTGCTATTGCATATAATCTTCTCTTAAAACTTCTTTCTTCCATTTGATCTGTAGCTTTAGATCACTTAAACAAGTTATTAAAAAAAAAAAAGGTAATTTTCATAGACTAAAACTATTTTACCAAAAAGTCTTCATTAAACCTGATGAAATAGCGGTAATTTATATTATTGGCTACCAAAGAATTGTCAGAAGTGTTTAGCTGATCTAACTTATCTAGAGTTTAAAGCATTAAGGTATTGTAAAGCCAATTATCTATGTATACAGCTAAATATTGAATAAAAATCAATCTCTCATTTCGCAACATTGCATATTTATTTAGGAACAAAATCTCTAAGTCATCACCATCGCCAGCAGCAGTATTGGTAGCCTTAGCCACCTGCTTCACGAGATCAGCACCAAGATTTTTGGCCTTGTCTTCAAATTTGACACTTTTGGCAACGGTCACTCCATCCTTTGTAATCTTGAGTTTTCCATGACTTTTCTCAATGATTACATTGCGGCCCTGAACCAATCATTCGAAATGAAAGTCATTTGCCATTTTGAATTATGGCTAGTCACAAGTTTCAGTAATAGCTTTTAGCCTCTAACTTGCAACAAAAATTTGAAAAAGTCATTCATTCGAAGGGACAAGTAATAAGAATACGTCCCCTAACTACCAGAAAGGTTTGACCTTGTCAGCATCAAGAGAATTCATAAAGATACATAATGACCACCAGAGTTCACTATAATAGTCACAACCAGTAACTAGCATGAACGAAGAAGAACCAAGTGATCCGGAATCAGTACCCTAGGTCCCATTGTTACTTTTACAGCCGCTGCAACCTCAGAAACCCCTTGAAGCATAGCAGCGCGTGCCCCAATTCCAAAGTTGATATCTTTTGCCACATAATTTCTGTTGGATATTATCCGATTACATACCTGTCCAATAAAAATTAAAAATTAAGGGGGAAATCAGACCAACAAATAATCCATCCAGAAATCAACCGCCCAGCTAAACAAGAGCACAAACTAGTGCAGAAAGTAGTAAACAATATTGAAGCAATATGTTCTATGATCACCCAGATACGAAAAGCTTGCTATTTTGATCCAAGCACAAACGAAAAGAATAAGAAGAGAAAAAGAAACGCTCATTCTGTAGTTTGGAAGGGAGAGTGACCAGAGGTTGAAAATTTTGAGATGCAAATGAAATAGGTAACACTCGAGAAAGAAGGAAAATTTCTTACAAGTTTTTTGGAAGAGGAGGAGCCGATGGACGACGCTAGTTTGGAAGCTACTCGATGCATTGCCAGATCGAAAAATGAATGCGGTGAAGCAGATGAACGGAAGGGATGGCCACTGGCAAGAGCAAGTATGCCAAGAGGGCTTTAGAGAGGGTTTAAGTGCTTTGTGATTCCCTTTTCCTTTCTCCCTTCGGGACCAGGAATTCACATTCCTTCCCTTTTCCCTTTTGTGTTCTCGAGTTTTCTTTTTTTTTTTTTTTTGGTGAAGTCGAGTTTTCTTTATTTAAAATGGCATTTCATTATTTTGAATTTAATTTTATTTAATTAAATATTAAAAAAATTGTTCTCAACATTTTTTCTTAATATGAGAGGATGAGAAGAAATGCAACAAAATGAAAAGGAATGGGAGCACGGCAGTACATATCCAATTATCCATTGCCTGCTTTAAATGAATATATTACTTCAAAAAATTATTCATAAATTTTAAATAAAAAAATTAAACGCATAGAAGAAGTTCCAAGAATATCAAATGCGTATAATATAAATCAAACGATTCTCTAAATTCCAAATGAAAAACAAACAAGCTGGTCAAAAAAAAAATGAAAAAACAAACACTACCGAGGGAGAGGAACATGTTATATCAAACATATTCGATATTCTCCTTAGCAAAAAAAAACATATTTGAAAAATTGAACATCTTTAGCAAAAACATTGAATAACTACAATTTTACAAATAACACAATAAGAATTAAATATTTGTGACATCATCAATAACATTAAAAAAATATAATAAAGTTGGCAAAAAAACAATATATATAATAAAATGAAATAATCAAAAAGGGCTCATGGTTTAAAAAAAAAAAAAATCAGAAGGGCAACCGTTGTACTCATTCCTGACTCTAATTGAGAGCAAGTGGTATGTCTCTAAAATTTAAATTTTGAACTATTTGTCTAGGGTATGAGAATCCCTATATATCACTTACATATGACTCATGAGTTAGTTCAATATACTAGTTATTAGAATCTTCTTAATAACAACCATAAAAATAAGAAGTTATCACTCTGTAGTAACAAATTTAAAATAATATTTTTGTAATATATATTCTCTTAACATTCAAAACATCAAATTATAGATACGAGCGAGCGATTTTATTTTATAATATTGAGAAAAATTGAATTTTAACCATCATTAATAAGTATAAATAATAATAATGTGTGCATGCATTAATATTTCTTTGATTGCGATTTCCCTTCAATGAATTGTGCCTAAATTTAACCCAGAAAATGCTATTTATAGGTATAATCACACAAGTAGTAATGCAAACAATCCTATTATCTCTATCTCTCATTTCACACAATCTCTCATTTTAATTAATTCCTACTTATATATATCTCTGAGGTTTGTCTTCAACTAAAGCCCAGAAATTTCAGGAGATCTCTCTAACCTCCGTCTCTCCCTCATCCCCCAGCCTTTCCCGCCGGAGTCGCCGACGCACTTCTCTCTCCTTCTTTCTCTGAAATCCAAACCTTCGCATTGCCATGAACGTTCGGAATAACAACAATAATAATACCAGTAACCACCATAACAACAACAATAACCAGGCTTGTGCTGCTTGTAAGTACCAACGTAAGAAGTGTGCTCCTGACTGTATTCTCGCTCCTTATTTCCCTCACGATCGACAACGTCAATTCCTCAACGCCCATAAGTTGTTCGGTGTCCGGAACATCACCAGAATCATCGAAAACCTCGACCCTCACAGTCGCAACGAAGCCATGCGAAGCATCATTTATCAGTCCGACATGCGAGCCGCTGACCCCGTCGGAGGTTGTTACAGGCACATTCAAGAACTTGTCGCCCAGATTCAATACCATGAGGCTGAACTCGAGCTTATTCTTCAACAACTTGCTGTATTTCGTGCCCAGGCTCGCCATCATCATCATCTTCATCGGCATTCTCATCCTCAAGAGATTGTTGATACTACTCCAGATCATTTGTATAGCCCTAATATTGCAGCAGTATTGCCATCACCAGTTTCTCATTACCAGTATATTCAACAGCAACAACAAGAGCCGACGATGAATATGATGGTAGTTAATAAGGATCATCAACATCATCAGAGTAATAATAATAATTTGCAGGACGATGTTAATTATTGGGTTTCGCAGGATTCAATGTCTTTGTCGTCTTTGTCGTTGCAGAACAAGAATGGTGGGGATGAACAAAGTGGTTATGTGGGTGATGAATTGTATAATGATCATAAGTCGTCGTCTTCTTCGTCTATGCTTGATATTCATCGTGATGACAGGTTTTGAACCTGAAGAATTACTAGTGGAACAATAATAATAATTAATGCAGATGGAGTATGTGTGTTTTATATCATCGTTATTAATTTATAAGGAACACAAAGTTTTGCAATTTATATGAAATTCTTCTGCAATTTCGTTCTTCTTTGTCCATCATTATGATCTATTTCCCAATTTCATTTTCAAGTTTTGGTAGAAGGGATTCGTTCAGAAAATACAGTTTTGGAAAAAGGTAGAAAATATAGCTTGTACAAAATATACTAATACTAAAGTATGAGTTTACTTTAGAGACATCATCGTTGAAATTTATGTGCAAAATAGAACCTTATTATTGGTTTCATTAGCTCCATCATTCTCAAATACAATAAAGACTCTATAACCTGTCGATCCTTGAGTGACAACTAATTTGTTTGCGGCTGTTGATTATAATCAACAGCTCAATCTGTTCGTTCATTTAAGATAATTTCATGATCGTATCGGTAAAAGATATACGACGAAGATGTACAGTTTTTGTTTTACATATTAAATCATATTGTTCATCAATAAATTTCTTTGTGCTTGTTGAAACTTGCTGATGAATTAAATCGAGTCTTTGGTAGTTGTGATGTCAAATATTGGAGAATTTTGGGAAATGCACATTAATCGTGCATGTCGTTGGCGAGATGCAGAAGATTTACATCCATTTTCCTTTAATTTGAAAATCATATTATGGCTTATTATTAATAATATAAATAGTCCCAAAGGAGTATTATTTTTGTATTGATTGACTAAGTATGTGAAATAGATTAAATGCTTATATCTGCAACTTTTAGAGTTAAATTTGACCAATATCTCTATGCACTACTATAAAAAAGAGTTTTCACGATGCTAATTTACGGCGGTTATTAGAAAAAACATTATAAAAAAATGACAGTGGCATTTCTGTAATTATAGCGGACTTTTAATGGCAGTTTTTTAAATAACCGCCGTAAAAAATCTATCAGAATTTTAAAATCCATTGCACAATAGTTTTCACTTTTCATAATCAGAGCTCATAGTCTCCATATCATCCTCACTCTATTTTCTCCCTCCTCCTACATTTTTCGGCGTTTATCCATTGCTTTTATCATTTCCGCCATGTTCTTCCATCACCGTTGTTGTTGCTATCACCATCGCCTCATCCTCTTCATTCTTATTTTTGAGTTTTTCACCTCCATTCTTTTTGTGGATTTCATAGTTTTTGTGGTTTGATATGATTATTTTCTTTGGTTAAAAATATGATGTTTAATCTGAGTTTAAAGAGATCTGATTTTTAGCAGATCTGAGTCTTTGATTTTATCAGATCTAAGTCTTTGATTTTATCTTTATTAAATCTTAGTTGCTTCAATCTGGTGGCTGAAGGTGAAGCTAAGTAACGCTATTACGGCGGGAAAAAATCTATATTTACTCTATCATGATGCTTTTAACTGGTAAGAGACTTCTTTTGAGGCTTTGTTCTCCAGTTCCATCTTGATCAGTAGGGTGAAACGTAGACTAAAAAAAAAAAAATTTTCACGGCGGTTATTTATATAACCACTGTGAAAGGTCACATACCACGGCGATTCTTAAACCGCTGTGAAATCCTCTACATTTTATGTCGATGGCATAGACGCCGATCTCAAAACCACCGTAAAAAACTTATTTTAACCACCGTTAAATGTATTTTTTGTAGTAGTGATGATTGAACATTTGAACATTGGGTTGTTTCCAATTATCCGGCCATCGTTGACAAAAGGGCAAAAAAATCATAAAATATATGTTTAGAAACCCTACTACTGTTCATCTAAGTAAGCCATCAATGAGTGTTTATTGTGAATGGGAAAAGTTTGAAGTCAAAATCTTAATTTATATACACACTTTTAATTTCTAAATTTTTATTGAAATGCGGAAAAATAAAAAAAATGTTTATTGAGTATAAGAAATACCTCATTGCCCAAGCATACATAAAAACCTAGATTCTTGGAGCGGGTCAATGGTATAATTTGTTTTCAACTGTATGTAGCATATCTTTAGACTTCATTTATGTACAAATATCTTTAGCCATGCATACAATTGAAAAAGAATTATATCCCCCAAACATAAGTTACATCTAGGTTCTTAAACAAATTTTAAGTAGTTTTGGGCAATAATTTTTGTGATGGAGGATTTTTCAGCAAATTTCACCATAATTTTAGTTATTTTATTTGTTATGTTGTATAACAAAATGTTACAAGACTGTATATCAATAAAATCCCACAAATTTTACCTAGAAAAAATCAAACCTCGTATTGTTGCTTTAAATGCTTAGGTTTGTTTAAAAGAAATTATTAGGTAAAAATTTATTTCTATTAAAGAGCTTCCATTTTTGATACAGGGATGTAGAGTGGTAAAACCATAGCATGCAAGTAAAGGAGCTGAATCCCCAAAAAAAAAAAGGCGTGCAAATCGAATTTATCAGCAACAAGCTTTAGAAGATTATATATCTCATTCACTGCCAAAGCATCCAATGCATATGTTCTCAAAGTTTATAGCAATGAATTACAAAAGCATAGACCCTAATATTGCCCAAAACTACCATGAGGCTGAACTGGAGCTTATTCTTCAACAACTTGCTGTGTTTCGTGCCCAGGCTTGCCAACATCATCATCATCTTCATCGACATCCTCATCCTCAAGAGATTGCCGATACTACTCCAAATCATTTGTATAGCCCTAATATTGCAGCAATATTGCCATCACCAGTTTCTTATTATCAGTATATTCAACAACAACAACAAGAGCCTGAAAATAAAAAATAAAAAGAAGATAAATTAA